TGTTGCAAGGTGTAAAATTTATTCAAACAGAAATAACTAAAGGCGGATATGCAAAAGCATAAATTTGTCCAACTAGCAACTTCCTTGGATAATGGTAGATGGTAGCCTGTAGACCTTACTTGTGAATCGCGCAGACACACCGCTAAGGAAAGAAATCGGAGCAGTGAGTTCCTTACGCTTTGGCAAGCAACCAGTGATTAATGAATGGCCAAGCAAGTGGCCGAGTCATTCAACGCTGTTGTCCACATCCCGCGACCAGCGAAAGTCTAACACTAACCAACGAGAATCACCCGTCAAATCGCAGCCGAGAGGAACGTCGCCCAACAACCCTGCTCTTGCATCCGTTCTCGGGCCCGCTATCGATCCTCACACCGATTCGCGTTTCGCTATTATTGAGACGCATCAAATCCGGTCTGTCTTACGCGATTTTTGAAAATGGTTCCAAGTGTGCCTAGGGTTCTGTTAACCTCATCATCTATATTTTGAACCGAATCGTTCGCGCTCTTCTCTTTAAAATCATTCGAATTGCTCTAACTTGAATTGTCCTTTCTCAAAAAATTGTTTAGATCTGCTACCAATTCAAAATTGTAATCTTCAAAAATCCGTTGTTGCTGCCATGATTTTATGCGCTTATGTTTGTCATTCATTATGTCGTACGTATTTTTCAATTCATCAGTCACCCGTACGCTGATAACATTTGCAATAGGAGAGGGGTTGAAAGAATAATACTGCGCAGGCATTTTTCTCTCAAATTGTTCGTGGAAATTCCCAGTCCGTTTCCTTTCATGGGAGTTCATCATGTCTGCTGTCATTTCTTCCTTCTCTGAGGATGGAATTATTTTTGAATGCGAATTGCGAGCTAGATTGCCCTAAATATGTTTTGTTATTATCATACAGGTGTGCTGTTTGACCACTGTTCCTTTGATATTTTCGTTTTTTCGCGTTATTGGACGTGCAGGGCAGCGGGCGAACTCAAAATTCTTGCGAACGCAGTGAGAAGTTGCGGTCATGCAGCGTCCAGGCCGTCTCCAGGTTTTCGCGGATTTTGCGCATAATAACTGAAACGAAGATGTAGTGTGTGCATGTAGTATCATTCAAAGTTGAGGTTTGCGAGATTCCCATAGCGTATTGAGTGCGATTGGCACAGATTACCTGTAAATATCGTAATTGTGAAAGGGATCTGCTACTGTATTGCTATTTCAATCAATATCAACTTCAGGTTTCGATTGACGGTTGTTCCTTTAAATTTCGGAAATGACATCAGAAACTGAAAATCTATCTTCCTAAATTTTCATCGTACCCTAAGAAGTGTATTTGTGGGCGTTTGTCTCAAAACCGCGCTACAGTTAATGATGACTCTCAAAATACTTATATGAACAGCTGTAACGCTGCTTCACCATAGATTCTCTTTAGATATTCAACGAAAGTCTCGGGCAACTGCTCACTTTTTGTCCGTAGTTCGCGTCGCGTTCGATGTGCCTTGTTCATTTTGTCGCCACGCCGCGCCATTTACAGCTTTGTCTCGCCCTTTTCTTTTGTCCATGCTGCGTCATTCGTTGTCGGTGGTTTTTGTTTCGTAGAAACCGATCAACGTGCGAACTTTTTCAGTCGGCGTTCGCGTTTTTACTGTCGTCATCGACGACGATTTCTGGAACGATGCGCGGCGTCGCGGCCTCCTATGACGACAAACCCCCTCCTCCACCACTACGGTTTAGCAGCGGTTCAGGCGGAAAGGAGCAGTCGGTGTGTTTTCTTCCGAATTTCAACCTTCTTTGTTGCTTATAACTTTCCTTGCTTTTTGCTATCTGTTTTTGGATATACATACACATGCATATTTGTGCGCAGATAGGTTATGTTTCTCATGACAATCTAACGAAGAACATCTATAGAACTCGAGATTTTTTGTTCCTTTCTTCTTACTAGTCGAATTATTACCCGTTCAAATCAAACAATTTCTCAGCTGAGAGGAAAGACCGGGAGGGAGTCTTCGTGGGTGTCTAGCTTTGAGTTGACAGTGCTTATAGTTTGAAAAGGAAGTGAGTCATGAATGTATCGCAACACTAATATTCACCAAGCAACGCTTCTTCATTCGCTCTTATCACTATTCATTGTTGTTCATTGCTTAAAAAAGTTACTACTACTTTAACACCATCACTTTTGCTTACCCTTTTTGTATTGGCCTAGATAACAGATAAATATACAGAATAGATCCAGCGCACGCCAGCATATTAGCGTTGAAAGTTTGGAAAATTTTTGCTACAATACCGTTGGTGGCTTTGCGTGGCTAGCAAGTGCGTGTATATCATTGTCTGGACAATTTAGATAATTCTCTTCAGATTTTTGACGTAATGAAAAGAGGCACCTTGTGATAAGATTACAGCAACGTGCAAGTGTTTGAATAGGTTTATATCAAGAATTTCATTATCTTGGAACTTTTGTATGAGGTGAATAAGTGTTTCAATCCTGTATGAAACGGGAAACTCAAAACAAGCATTCATGTGACTGACTGAGCTGGGGTCATTTCGACGCAAAGAGCAGCATTACTTTTACAGTTCAATATGGATTGAGTTTGCGTTTAGTGAAAATGTCAAAATTATTAGGACTAAGTAATGCAGGATAACATAGCAAAACAACTCCGGGTGTGCAGTCGAAATTTTTCATTCCGCGCTCAACTTTCCTCTGAGGTCCACATAAATTTCAGTTCTGGAGCGGACCTTTTTCGGTTCTGACGTCGATTTTTGGATACCTTCCGCAACAAAAAACTATCAAAACACACCTGGCGTCAGTCTATACGTAGCGGTGGCAGCAACGCAACTGATGCGTATCGATTGCAGTGGAGTAATGCTGTTGCCTCCCACTGCAGCAGCTAGCGCAAAAATTTGCTATCCATGCCCAGCGAGTCATTTTTGAGCAGCGCTGCACCGCGCTGTTCGTGGTGATCAGCGCTGCAACTAGATTGGCAGCTCTTCTCATGTACGCTTACTTTTCCTGAGTTCTCCCGGTTGAAGCTGCACCAGCTTTCTACCTGAAACAATCTGCTTTTACAAACTTTCAAGCTCCAACTCGCGCTTTAAAGAACTAGTCCATCCTACGTAAGCAAGTCACGAAAGAAAAGTAAGACTGTTGAAAAATTATAATTTTGAAGTTAGGTGGATGTGAGGAAAATATCTTGACAAGGAAAAACATACTCTTGGATTTGAATAGATATGACCTACGCATAGGCGAGATACTGGGAAGCCGTTGAAAGTGTAATCAAAGAAGTTGGCCTCCAGAATATCCTGACCATGGTCCTTCCTTTGTAGAGTTACTGATGAATGGAAAGAAAGGCGAACCTTTTAGAGAATTAGGTTATAATCTAGAGACCCAACCTGAAACATAATCTTTCTTTCCTTTTTAACTTACTGAAACTTGGCGATGAGGGATGAGTTTGGTTGGTTTTTGCACTCAACCTGCATCTAAAAGCATCCGATTGCAGCGCGCTGATCAGTTAAGGCTTCGCTACTTCCGAGATTTGTCCATACCTTCGCAGCAAGGAATGTTGCAATGGCTTTTGCCCTTTGCGTATGAAAAGGCAAGATTCACTTGCGAAAGTATGCCTTTCCATTTCACAAATCTTTGTTGCCATATTAAGAATTCTTACTGTACGTGAAGCATTGCTTATTCATGTCCATCTGCTTTATAAATTGCTTGGGTAAAGGAGAGAGTGTTTAATGAGTAATGGGGATATGCGCTGCAAATGTCCCCTTGGATTGCGAGATGTTGTAGGCAACTTACCCGCGCATTCGGATGGCATAACACTCTCTAAAGTCGAATTGTTGGTGTTCTACTTTGTGCTGTGGAAACGATGCTCTGTGAATTGTCCACAATTGAAGTCGCATAGAAGCCTTTTTCATTCATCGTTTACCATGATTGAGCTACTTTCTCTTCCAGTAGCGCAAACGACCTTTCTTGCAGTGTGTTTTGCATTTGTATCATAGCTTTGCTAAGCCTGTATTGGTTGGCCATATTTTCTGTCACTATTGGTTAACATTGAGTTTTGAATGATTAGGATGATCGATGTGCGATCAACGTCACACGCTTTCAAACAAATCAATAATCAGATTCGGCACATTTCCTGATTTTCCTTGATTGTATTAGCTTTTCCAGGTCGTTGGTCTCAAGCCGCTTCCTAAGGAGCCATCAGATTCTGGGAAAAAGAAGAAAAGCATGTCGAATCCTTTCGTCAAGAGTAAGTCCTTATCATTTTCGATATTGTAAGGTTATCTTAGCCCATTGACATCTGCTCTTTGTAGTGTCTCGTTATCTAACTGTTGTGATATCCTTTGAGAATTAAAAATTTTAGCTGGAATTCGCTTTTACTGGAACTAATCAATTATGCCTTCCAACTATACGCCTATCTTTAGAGAATCGCGAGAAGAAGGAAACTCCGGAAAAGCCGGTTATCTCTGAACCAAGTAATTTCGAGCACACTGTCCACGTTGGATATGACCCTGCTACGGGCGAATTTACGGTGAGTTCAGGAATTTGGCTTGATGCGCGTGTTTGCAACTAAATAATTCTAGTTTATATGGTTTTTGCCTGGAGAGATCTTTTTTACACTCACGCAGTTTTTTTTTTGATAGTAGGCATGCAGCTTGTTGACCGCATGTGAGATATGTAATAATGGAGAAACCCCGTCATTTCTACTCTGACGGATATGTTGATTAGAAGTGCTTGATCGTTGGCAGATATCCCAAAGTCAAAAATGGATTTGCACGATGCTTCTCTATTTGATCATGAGGAATGGTGCAGTTTGTTCGAGTTTGTGCCAAGTTAGAGATTGTAAGAACTCTAGTCCTCGGGCATACCGTGCATGATAATCACCAGCGATGCGCGATTTGCCAGATGTCTGCAAAAGCAACACTCGCAAAATTTTTCTGAGTCATCACAGTCAAAATCACGTTCTCGTCATTGTCTTGTTTCTCTAAGATGTGGACAGGATTATCGTAGCAGATAAGCGCAGATAAGTGAAAAAGTTTGGACATATGCCCTGATTACGTCAGCTTTCTGAGAATTTCTGTTTCGTACACTCACTCCTTACGCGGCGTGCGACGGCCAATCAAGGAAACTTAAAGTTTCATTTTAACTAGTGGATAGCATGCTCGTGAGCTGTTAAAGCCCTTAAATGTTTCTTTGTAGCCTCTTCGTAGTTTTCCGTTAGCTCTTGTTGAGAGTACATGACAGAAAATTTGTTATTTTCTCATTTTCAATATACTTGAGACCGTTTCTCTCCAAGTTTCTCTCCAACGTTTGCATTTCTGTAATAGTAACT